AGATTTGGACTTCGCAGACTACATTTCAGGTGAACGTAGAGAAGACGGAGGTGATGAAGATAACCACTGACGACGAAAGAAATTTGTACACGTTCACTTCGATCACTTATCTTGACGATGTCGTTTCAAATGAAGGCAGTCGGCATAGATGCGGATTTCAAAGACGATCAGGATAGGAAAGGTAGGGCAGACCTTAATTACTCTGAAATCAGTTTTTAAATCTTATGTGCCTCACAGCATCAAGAAAAAGACTGGGATCTTTAACACTAATATCAAGTTAGTCAGTAACCCTTTATGGTTCAGAGGCTTGCCGCGTCACGGATAGAATTTCTTATAGGCTACCGCAGACTGTTATCATCAGCTGGTTTCCCTCCATTGAAAGATCAGATAGCCAACCAGAAGGGATTAAAGACAAGAAACCAATCAAGAACGTGTTGTCCGACAAATAGGGTGAAGAAAGTGGAGATGGATCGGATATACGCCAAGGAGACTGCTGAGCAAAATTTTGCGGTAAAACATCGCTTGAATGGAACCCGGATGGGTAGTGGCGGTCTGGATTTTCAAGGGTGACATAGAGGATACCGAACGGGGGAGAAGTGAAGGTTTGTGGTCAGTCGTTCAATGACAACATAAATAAGCAAAAGCTCAAATTAGTCTAAATGATACACTTGTATCAAAACGAAAGGGATTGGTTTGATTGGTGAAGAATGAAAAGCGATTAAAAATCTGAGTCATGATAGGATTCGAACCAGAAATCATTTCCCAACCAGCTAAGTTACATGTGCCAGTTGCTAATTGTGATTTCACTGAAGTTAGTTTGGGCATTGCCCATCTTTCACATAAATGAAAATCTGCTTTTTTGAATGCTATCGAAACCCACATTTTCAGCATCAACTGTCACTCATCGTATCAACAGTAGTTTGCCAAACGGTGCGTTTGCAGTTAAGCAGTAGAATGATCGCTAATCAGACAAGTGACCCGGGGCTTAATCTCTGGTTGACACACTCCCTGACCTCATTTAGACGGTAGCAGCCCTATAAAGAGGGAACGTTGGGTGTGTTGCTGCTAACCCCACCTCATAAAAATATAGTAACACACCTCTGTTGCTGAAAATTCAAAACTCAAGCTTGAGGCCGTATCTCTTGTTTGGAGCACGAAACATCAAGATAAAAAACAAATAGTAGTTCCCCAATTCATTCAAGGGTTGATCACAAACTGACTTCAGTTATAGTACCATTGGAAACCGAACTGTACTGAACAGGAGTTCGGCGTCTTCGACAGTACACACCCATCAACCCACTAGGAAAGGACCAGAAACCCTCGTGTCATAAGGTGAGTCCACATGCTGTTGAGCAACTGGGATGAAACACAATGTGCCATCAGTCCTGTCTTTTACTGCCAGTCAACATCATCTGTAAGTCTTAGCCCTCACACTGAAATTGGTGGGCCACTCTGGTTACAACTTCTTACTGGAATTTCAGAAAAGCTCTTCCTGTATTCAATTAATTACCAGTGAGCAATCGATTAACATTCAAGTGTTGATTTGCACGAATTTGACTGACTTCAAGATCATCCTAAGCGATCTACGGTTAGGCCATGAATGCCTACTTCCGAACAATTGCAGACAAAGACGAATCAGCTGTTCAGTACTCACTGTAACTGCAGTCAGCTTGTTAACAATCTTGAAATCAGCCAGACTACTGCAAACCGAACTGTGACAATTCAAGCGTATTTCAGATAATCTGACCATCAGAAGGAACTGAGAGATCTATCAAATATTTAGGGTTTCGGGGTAAGAAGAATTAATGTCAACTAATTACAAAGTCATAAAATAACTTCCAAATAATGGAGGAAGACTTGTAGCTTACGTGGATGACTTTGATTTAGTTGTATTCATTGAGCTGGTCGGTTGACTTAATTGAGATGCTTTCGTTGTCTCCCTTCTAGACAACATCTTCAGTGCACGTTGTAGCATGAAACCAATTTATTTGACTTGTAATTTTGAAATTTCTTCACATCCCATTTACTTTTCGCTAGTTGGTAAACTGCGTCTATGATAATGTATTTATTAATTGCTAATTCATTTGAGTATAAGGCGTCTAGAAATTTCCTGACTTCGTGTTTGGTGTTACCTCTGTTTGAGACTTTTACATTCTTCTAATCAAATTGGTGTCTGTGATTGTCTGCACGCATCGATATGAAACAGGGATATATCGTGCCCTTTCATAGCTAACTTGTGTCTTTGGATTCGGACATGTAGATAACACCCATTCTGACTGATCTAATGATGTTTTGCAGTTCATATACTTTCTTTTGTAAATGGTATTAATGTTATCGTTTTTTTCTGTTGGGTCCTCTGGTTTACACAGTATCGAGTGAAGTGACTGTGCTGTCTGGTTGGCTTGTGTGTTACATCTATTTCAAACGGTCCTAATATTCTAGCTGTTAGTTATTTCAGATATATTCTTCATATATTGTAGAGTGAACTTCCATGTGCTCTTTGATGTTGGCTTGTTGTTGATGTGATAACTGCAGTTTAAACACTTTTTGACGAATTAATATATGAGTAAAACTTGGGCACTGTGGTAGTACGTAATTCTACACTAATTTGTTTATTAGATGTATTACACAGTGAAACAGTATTATTTCCTGGATGACAAAGTTTCGAACAAAATTTATTGTTCATAATCATATCAATTGTAATCACACGACTTTCAAACTTGAGTTTTGTAGTTTTCTTTGTCTTCTCGTATTTGTCATAGGGGTAGTGGAATTTTCCAGATATCTGGGTGGACAGTTGTTGAATCATTCCTATTACACGTGTTTGCAGTTGATTCGATAAACAGAGCTTCTGTTATCAATCTCTCCCTCCACCCTGGTGTAACATTAGATTTGAAACTGTCATCTTATCCCATCCTATTATACAGTTGTATGTAACTGCATGCAAAGAGTGCTATAGCTGGACTATTCTTTACATTTCTTATCTTATTCGTTTCGACTAATCTAGATTTTGCTAGGAACTCATGCTGGGCTAGTCTGACTGCTTCTGTTCTACTACATTGAACTATGTATTTGACCTGACGATCAATGCAAGCTCCATAGCGTCCCTTAACCGACAAAGCTTGTTTCTAATTGAGTTTGTGGGTTTGAATGCTACTTTTATTCCTGCCTTATTAGGAATTCTGAATTCTTGATTCAGAATTACATACAACCACACAGTAGGATGGGATAAGATGACAGTTTTAAAATCTAATGTCACAGAAGGGTGGAGGGAGAGATTGATAACAGTAGCTTTGTTTATCGAATCAACTGCAAACACATGTAATAGAAATGATTCAACACCTGTTCACCTGGATATCTGGAAAATTCTACTACCCCACCAACGATAAATAGGAGAGGACAAAGAAAACTATAAAACTCAAGTGTCAAAGTCGTGTGATTATAATTGATATGATTATGAACAGTAATAAATTTTGTTCTCAACTTCGTCATCAAGTAAATAATACTGTTTCAGTGACTGTGTGATACATCTAATAAACAAGCTAATATGGAATTACTTTTTGATGAAATTTGTGTGGGCATTAATTCTTTCTGAACACATTAGGTGTACGTATTTTCCTTCTATTCTCTTATGCACAGGAGTACTACACTGTGTTTGAACTCTTTAAACAATGTCTACACTCACTTTATTTTGTGAACTATCATAGTTGTGTATTCGATCTGTATGTGCGTTGATTTTCTACATACTTGTGTTTCTACATTTCCAGTGTTCGTTCTCTTGATTAAGGCAACTAAGAATGGAATTCTGCTGTCTAATTCTTCTTCTCTCGTTGTAGATTTATTGTCTCCAAATATGTTGTTAATTAATTTCTGGATATATTCCAGATCATTTCTGTTAATTACGACAAATATGTCACCAATGTAACTTACCCAGATTTTGGGTTCACATATGAGTAGGGCTATTGATTCTAATCTTTGCATAACGGCTTGAGCTATTAATCCTGATATGGGTGATCCCATCGGTGTTTCCTTTATTTGTTAGTATATTTGATTATTAAATTGGAAGTATGTTGTAAGACATAATTCTGTGAGTTCAATCCAAGTTGAACATCGAGTTTTTGTGTGTTTATCGCTATAAAGTAGTCGTCACATGGTTTCTTTTGCTAGTTTTGAACCGTCACTGGCATCCACTTGAGTGTTGTTTATTTCATTATCTCTAGAAATTGGATTGGTGAATTGATAGAATGGCTACATGATTCTGTTTTTTTATTCCTTAATTTTCCCAGTGGGCTTCAAGTTACAGGCTTGAAATTTCGATAGCAGTGGTTTTATTTTTTTTACGGGATGGGGTTTCTGGCCAGCCTCATACCCAACCTTCCCTCTTTGCCAGTCTTAATACTTGCTTAGAGAGGTAAATGAGTGCGTCGACCGGAATTGGAACCCCGGACCATCTGCATGGCTGGAGAACATTCTACCACTGTGCCACCAACGTACTGTTAGATATTACAGTTTATAAAACATTCTCTGGGTAGATTATATATTGGTATTCCTGAAAGCAAAACGACTGATCGTAAGGGATTGTTTAGTTTGTGTAGTTTCACTTGTAAATCCATGTAAGTGTGAGTACAGTAAGTGATACAGGGATGTAAGTTGTCGTATTATTAGAAAGATTTCCTGATCGATCAGAAGTTCGTCTGTAACTGCCTTCCATAAAACACTAGGAAACACATATGATAGATTTTTACAAGCCATCGATGTCATAGGTCGATGAAATAAAGCAATAACTGGCAATAACAAGTGGTACAGTAGAACCAAGAAATTGTAAATGGGAACCTCATTAGTGCAAAAAAATTCCAACGAAATGCAAAAAGTGGTTAGTTTCAGTACCATCGATTTCAATGATAAAGATAAGTAGATTTCAAGGATATTTAAGATGGTGTTAAGATTATTGATTTTTCACTACCCCAAAAATTGATTTTCCCATTGATTTTCTTTTTCAGATCCTAATAATGATTATCCTTCAAAATCAAAGAATGACTGTCGTCGTTCCACCCTGGGATGTGCTGCAACTAGCTGTTTTCCTCTGAAGCTTCATTCTTCACAAAAACCATGCGCTATAAGTGAACATAAAGAATCACACATTCCAAAATGTTCACCAAAAGAACACACCAATTCATCAGCCTACACAATGAATTCGCTGCTTTCAGCTGCTGCACCAACAAATTCTCGTAGAAACTCTGAACAAAAGTCTAGTTTTAATCAAACAGGTGAAGATTCTTTTAACAAATCGCCTTGCAAATATCTATCCAGTCAGCATAGCTATGATGAACACAAACTGAAACATAGTGATGCTTGGACAAATCAAAATGTAAGTCGTGTTGCATTCACATATGCATATAGAATTAAATAAATAATTGCTTTTTATTCCTTTACGTTCCCAATGGAACATAGGGCACCTTCAAGCTAGAGGCTTGACGTTTCTGTAGCAGTGGTGATTATTTTTACAGGATGGGGTTGCTAGCCTGATGCCCAACCTTTCCTCTTTACCAGCTTTTATTAATGGCTTAGCGAAGCGAGGTAAAGGATTGCGTCAGTGGCAGGGGATCGAACCTCGGACCACGTGTATGATCAGCGAGCGTCCTAACCACTGTGCCACCGACGCACAAGTAAATACAAATAAATAATGGAAATATTTAATCATTGAATGATCACTAGGGAGTAGCCAGTGCCATGCGTTTGGTGCCAGATGTTGGCGAAGATTCAATTTTATCAGTAAGGTGCGCAGCATAATCACCAAGGCAGGTTGACAACTCTCCATCGTGGTGCACTCTTAGCTGACGTTAAACGGATGGAGGCAATCTGCAGGAAGCCTGGAACCTAGGTCTTATGCTTGTTAGCTATTGCTGGCAAAGCGTATCCACAAATCTCAAGATCCAGAGCTTCCGGCAGAATGCTTTTAATCATTTAAAATCGATTTATAGTGCAGTGTGATGGAGAATCACCTGCCTAGGTAACCAGTATATCTCCAACTTGAATGATAAAATTCAGTCCACACCAACACCAGGGATTAGGAGCACAACAGTGGTTACTTACTAACCTAATGTTCAACCAAAATATTCAGAACAGCACCACAGGAGATGGATTGCGAGTCCCAGTGGCCTAGTGGCAACGTTTGTGAGTGCACTATTGGGTGACGCGGATTCAAATCCTAGAGAGGACATGAGTTCCTTCAAGACCTCAGATACGCCTTGTTAAAGCATGTCAACATGCACCACATGTTGGTTTAGAGATTCCTGTCGACTACCTGTCACCAGCTAAAATAGATTTCATGAGCTAAGGAAACACGAGTAGACAGACAGCAGTAGACACCTTTTCTGCTCTAGGTTGAAGTTCTGACATCACTGGGTGTGTTTTTTTGGATAGTTGGTGACCACTACTGAGGAACTCAGACAAGGTGTCTAGTTTTACAAGATAATGAGGAACTTCATTCCAAGTCACCAAAGTTCCTTCGATTATTGCTACATCCAATTGTCTTAAATATGAATTCGTTATGTTCAATGATTAATCATCTCCAAAAACTATCCTCAGGGTACATTTTGTTTCTGGAAGGGTAATTTGCGAATAAGTATCTATGACAAATGCACTAAATCGTTTTTTTATTAGGCGGTACCTAAACTAATCGTCGAAAAAAAGAAGTCGCCTTAAATTCCTGAAATGACGAATAAAATTAGTGGAAATTGTCTAAGCTTTCTGAAATCCTAACACTGTTCAGCCAAGCAGTCTGCTGATCATCAGCGCCAATGACTTTGGATATTGAGGCTTCCTTTAGGTAATACCAGACATTTCTCATCATCTCACACTAACCACCTAATAGTAACTCCTAATCTCAAGTATATCCATAAAGATGTATCTTAAGGAAGTGCCGTTCAATCATTCAGCTTAAGCTGTCACAAATTGTGATTCATTATTGTATATAATCAGCTTTCAGACATCACAATTCTTAAAAGTTAATCGGTGGATGTTGACTAGCAGTGGAATCCATCAGAATGCGCATTTCGCCCTATTGGGGACTCGTCCGCCAATTGGATGTACCTGCATTCCTGACTCATTGAGTGATGATTTTAGCTGCACCGAGGCTCAAACCCAGTGCCCTTAGTTTCCAACGCCGAAGCGATATCCACTAGACCACTTAGGCCACGAGAGCTGGCCACCTCTTGGGCAACGGGTGATATTAATTTAATTGTATTTTAAATTTTTGGTCGATTGATTAGACCGAAGTGCTCAATCTCATGTTGACAAGTCGGCTTCTTGTGCAGATGCTTCAACGATGTCTAGGCATGTAATTAGAAGTCTAGTGGATAACGCTTTTTCATTTGAAACTATGGGCACTAGGTTCGAGCCTCGGTGGTAGCACTATCACTCACTGCGAGATGCAGGTACATCCAGCTGGAGGACTAGTCCCGAATAGGACGAAATGCGCATCCTGGATTCCACTGCTAGTCATCATCCACCAATTAACTTCTAATTACATGCCGAAATATCGTCAAGACATCTGCACAAGAAGTCGACATATCAACCTGAGACCGAGCACTTCAGTCCAATCAATCAATGGGAAAATCTAAAATTCAATTAAACATTTCTTAAAAAGTAAAAAAATCTAGGTATAGAATGTATTTGGGTGAATATTATTGTCCTTGGAGAAAACTCATTTGTCATCTTTTTTGCAGTTGAGAATGTCCAGATTAAAGGTGGGTTTAGCTGTTGTTGAATGACGGTGGATCTAAATTTCGTGTTTGTTGTCACTCATTAGCAAGTCGTGCCTTCAAAGTCGAAGGAACAACAGTCCCTTCGAATATTCGAACATACAAGAGAATATTAGTTATGTGGAGTCACAAGCATCATTTAGATTGACTGTCACTAAAATTCGAAACACATTAATTGATGTTTTGTGAAATTAATAACATATGCTGACTGGATTTGAGGTTCAGAAGTTTAACAGATCCATACTGTATATTTCGCATACAATTTGGAACCTTTCTGAAGATTAAGTCTTGGTTTGCAGTGATTTGATCGGTCACGGAATCCATCATGAGGTGACATTGGTTAGAGAACCATTAGAAAACCGATGTTCGTTCATGAAGAAATACTATAACCAATCAAATCCCTGCAAACCAACACTTGAATATCGATCTGATGCTCACTAGCGAATGACCCTATTCAAGTAGTTAGTTGGCTGGGTTCTAGTAGGAAGTCATTTTCTCTGGGATGCAGCAGGTTGGGTGTGAAGATGGATACTCACCAGAGACGATATTGTCTAGTGCCAGCAGCTATATATTGTGCGTGAATCGGCAAAAGTTGGAATTCATAAGTTGGCCATTGGATCAGATCTCAATGGCTTAATTGTCTATGAGTTCAGTAGCTTTGCAGCCAGAAGGTCCTGGATTCTAACCCTGGTAGTAGTTCGGTACTGATGAGGAGTCAGAAACTAGGATTAAAGAGCTGCTTTTCCATTACTGCAAGATTCTCCAATGTTTTCCTAACCAGCTAAGCTTAATTTTAAAATATCGAATTTATGAAAACTTGGGTTGAGACGAATGGCTCTTTTACGAGAGAAAATAAATACCCCTCTCTCTCTCTCTCCTTCGACCTTTTTGGTTCGTAAGGATTCAGACTGGTTTTGATAAAGATCGCTTCTACTTCTTGTTTAACTCTTAGAGGAATGAATTCACTTAGAATACCATAAACCTCACCAAAAGACCATGACTAAAAAAGGTTCAGGTTTCGCCTCCTAGTGAAGGTAATTACCAGTATACATTGGATCAAATCAGCGAAGTGAATTGATTACATGAGAAAGACAAGGCTGCCCACTACTATCACCAATGATATTCTTAATTATGGTGGACTGGATTATGCGTCAGACTGTAGGGAGCGAAGAGACAGGAATACGCTGGACCTCCGATAGGAAGACTCTAGAATATCTGGACCTCGCGGATTATTTACTTTTAATGTCACATAGACTCGAAAGCTTACAGGCTGAAACCAACAAACTGAATTAAGAGGCAAGGAAGACAGCGCAGACACGACTGCAGGTGAACATAGAGAAGGCGAAGGCATGAAGATAACGAACTACCACCAACAGAAACAGGAAAGATCACCGATAACCATCAGCTGGAGAGATCTGAAAGAGGTTATTTGCTTCACTTATCTACGAAACATTGTTTCAACTACAGGCAACAAAACGATGGTGATATCAAAGCAGGCCAGAATCGGAAATGCAAGATACGCCTTCATCAACCTGAAACCAGATCGGAAATCTTCTGCTTCACTCACTCAGCCAGCAAAAACAACAAGATTAGAATTCTGTTGGACACAGATGGGAAGACAGATGCAGCTTCTTTATGGGTCAGAAACTTGAAAAGCACGTCACGAAAAGCATTTCCAACAGACAGCTGCAGACTTTAATAAACAGCTGCCTTCTCCGGCTCCATACTGAAGATCAAATGGCCGACCGGCCAGAAAGAATTAGTAACAGGAAACTGTGTGAACGAACCAACCATATGTAGGAAGAAATGGAGATACATTGAGGATACATTGAGCGCACCATTGACCGACATCGCAAGCCAGGTCACCACACAAGTGTGACCCAATTGGGAAACGATGAGTGGACAACATGCAGTACTTCGTGAGGGAAGGAGATGAGAGAATTTGAGCAATCGGAGGACCAGCTAAAGATGACACTGGAAAGTAGCACAATGGGGATATTTGTTGTTGAAGCCCAATTTTCCACTGGTAACTCAAGGGAACAATAAATAAAATAAATAATTTGGGTCAAATCGATTGATGAAACCAATAATAAACAAGATTTTTTTATTCTTCAATGATCAGTCGGTATTTCGTTTTAGCCAGGTGAACACATATTATACCTATTCGATGTGCTGCATAAATTAAAGGTGACTATGTGAATGTCTTGCTGAAAAGTACTGCCTTAAGTAAAGTGCAGTCACGTGGAATCCTTTTAGAGGAAACTTAATTCTTAGTAAAATGACACTGAAGTCTGTAGACTGTTTATGCAGTTTACTGGGTTTTGTTAACAGTCATTGAGATCGCTTATTTCTGTAATCATGGTATGTTACAAGATTGCTGTCTGGTGATTTAACTGGACCGAATGGATCGGCCTTATTTCGGTATGCATGAAGTCATTCAACAGATACCCGGATATTATGAAGATTAATAACGCGAAGTTACTTGTTTACCTTGTCCTTTCGGTCTATTTGTTAGGATATCTGGCCTTCACAAAGACGACCGTGCTTTGAATTCCCAGAGCGGCAGAGATTTTCTGAGTCGGTGATTCAATGGTAAACGGCTCGA